CCCCTTCCTTTGGATTCCCCGGTAGGTTTCTTCCGCCAGATTGAAGAGGGGGCCCAGGAGAGTGTCTGTGCAAATTTTGAAGAAAATCGTAGGGGCCGCCCCATTGGGCCCCAAATTTCAATTGGGTCCCGTGGGCCCCAGGTGGGCCCCATCGAAAAATGTTACCTGGGTTTTTTGTTTGGGAAATTACGCTCTTTCCAATGATGTGCATATTGCCGGGGTTGGTCGCGAAATTAGGGGCAATACTTAGAAGGGGCCTCTTTGGGGCCCTCTTTGGGCCCCTTGCTTTGGATTCCCCGGTAGGTTTCTTCAGCCAGATTGAAGAGGGGGCCCAGGAGAGTGTCTGTGCAAATTTTGAAGAAAATCGTAGGGGCCGCCCCATTGGGCCCAAAATTTCAATTGGGTCCCGTGGGCCCCAGGTGGGCCCCATCGAAAAATGTTACTTGGGTTTTTTGTTTGGGAAATTACGCTCTTTCCAATGATGTGCATATTGCCGGGGTTGGTCGCGAAATTAGGGGCAATATTTAGAAAGGGCCTCTTTGGGGCCCTCTTTGGGCCCCTTCCTTTGGATTCCCCGGTAGGTTTCTTCAGCCAGATTGAAGAGGGGGCCCAGGAGAGTGTCTGTGCAAATTTTGAAGAAAATCGTAGGGGCCGCCCCATTGGGCCCCAAATTTCAATTGGGTCCCGTGGGCCCCAGGTGGGCCCCATCGAAAAATGTTACTTGGGTTTTTTGTTTGGGAAATTACGCTCTTTCCAATGATGTGCATATTGCCGGGGTTGGTCGCAAAGTTAGGGGCAATACTTAGAAAGGGCCTCTTTGGGGCCCTCTTTGGGCCCCTTCCTTTGGATTCCCCGGTAGGTTTCTTCAGCCAGATTGAAGAGGGGGCCCAGGAGAGTGTCTGTGCAAATTTTGAAGAAAATCGTAGGGGCCGCCCCATTGGGCCCCAAATTTCAATTGGGTCCCGTGGGCCCCAGGTGGGCCCCATCGAAAAATGTTACTTGGGTTTTTTGTTTGGGAAATTACGCTCTTTCCAATGATGTGCATATTGCCGGGGTTGGTCGCGAAATTAGGGGCAATACTTAGAAAGGGCCTCTTGTGGGCCCTCTTTGGGCCCCTTCCTTTGGATTCCCCGGTAGGTTTCCTCAGCCAGATTGAAGAGGGGGCCCAGGAGAGTGTCTGTGCAAATTTTGAAGAAAATCGTAGGGGCCGCCCCATTGGGCCCCAAATTTCAATTGGGTCCCGTGGGCCCCAGGTGGGCCCTATCGAAAAATGTTACTTGGGTTTTTTGTTTGGGAAATTACGCTCTTTCCAATGATGTGCATATTGCCGGGGTTGGTCGCGAAATTAGGGGCAATACTTAGAAAGGGCCTCTTTGGGGCCCTCTTTGGGCCCCTTCCTTTGGATTCCCCGGTAGGTTTCTTCAGCCAGATTGAAGAGGGGGCCCAGGAGAGTGTCTGTGCAAATTTTGAAGAAAATCGTAGGGGCCGCCCCATTGGGCCCCAAATTTCAATTGGGTCCGGTGGGCCCCAGGTGGGCCCCATCGAAAAATATTACTTGGGTTTTTTGTTTGGGAAATTATGCTCTTTCCAATGATGTGCATATTGCCGGGGTTGGTCGCAAAGTTAGGGGCAATACTTAGAAAGGGCCTCTTTGGGGCCCTCTTTGGGCCCCTTCCTTTGGATTCCCCGGTAGGTTTCTTCAGCCAGATTGAAGAGGGGGCCCAGGAGAGTGTCTGTGCAAATTTTGAAGAAAATCGTAGGGGCCGCCCCATTGGGCCCCAAATTTCAATTGGGTCCCGTGGGCCCCAGGTGGGCCCCATCGAAAAATGTTACTTGGGTTTTTTGTTTGGGAAATTACGCTCTTTCCAATGATGTGCATATTGCCGGGGTTGGTCGCGAAATTAGGGGCAATACTTAGAAAGGGCCTCTTTGGGGCCCTCTTTGGGCCCCTTCCTTTGGTTTCCCCGGTAGGTTTCTTCAGCCAGATTGAAGAGGGGGCCCAGGAGAGTGTCTGTGCAAATTTTGAAGAAAATCGTAGGGGCCGCCCCATTGGGCCCCAAATTTCAATTGGGTCCCGTGGGCCCCAGGTGGGCCCCATCGAAAAATGTTACTTGGGTTTTTTTGTTTGGGAAATTACGCTCTTTCCAATGATGTGCATATTGCCGGGGTTGGTCGCGAAATTAGGGGCAATACTTAGAAGGGGCCTCTTTGGGGCCCTCTTTGGGCCCCTTCCTTTGGATTCCCCGGTAGGTTTCTTCAGCCAGATTGAAGAGGGGGCCCAGGAGAGTGTCTGTGCAAATTTTGAAGAAAATCGTAGGGGCCGCCCCATTGGGCCCCAAATTTCAATTGGGTCCCGTGGGCCCCAGGTGGGCCCCATCGAAAAATGTTACTTGGGTTTTTTGTTTGGGAAATTACGCTCTTTCCAATGATGTGCATATTGCCGGGGTTGGTCGCGAAATTAGGGGCAATACTTAGAAGGGGCCTCTTTGGGGCCCTCTTTGGGCCCCTTCCTTTGGATTCCCCGGTAGGTTTCTTCAGCCAGATTGAAGAGGGGGCCCAGGAGAGTGTCTGTGCAAATTTTGAAGAAAATCGTAGGGGCCGCCCCATTGGGCCCCAAATTTCAATTGGGTCCCGTGGGCCCCAGGTGGGCCCCATCGAAAAATGTTACTTGGGTTTTTTGTTTGGGAAATTACGCTCTTTCCAATGATGTGCATATTGCTGGATTTTGTCGATGTTATAGGCCTGAAATTGTTGAAAACGTTTATTTATGCCCCGAGGGCATACTCCCGGGCCCATATATTTGAAGCTGTTTTGTTCGGTTCAGGGGGGCGCTAGCCCCCTAAATTTGGTACCGTTGCATGTAAAATTTTGTCCTCTTTCGAATGACGTGCATTTTTAGCTGTTTTGACGGCTAGAAGTATGGTTTTCAAAGTTCGTCGATTGTGCCCTGAGGGCATACTGTTTTTTGGGATTTGTGGCCCCCCTGATGGATTCCCCGCATTTTGGCACTAGGATTTTCGATAGAGGACACCATTCTGCACCTCTCCACCAAAATTCAGCGAAATCGTAGGGGCCGTCGATCCCTGCTGAATCCCTGCTGAACCCCTGCTGAATCCCTGCTAACTTCCGTTACATATACAGATGGTGTTTGCGCAAAATTTCTAACGGAAAATCACCGACTATTTAGTGTCGACAGCTGCATATTAACTTTTTGAACACGCCTACATCACTGCTTGTTTGTTGGCTGTCCGTGGTATTGGGCTGTGTTGTTGGGGCTGTGTTGCTGTATATGTGTGTCGCTGGGTGATTGTGATAATATTTTGATGATTAACCTTTTTATTCAGCGGTAGAGACCCACAAGTTGACTCCATTATAAGTATTGTCTCTTTATCATGAAACAGACTCCGAAACCTTGGCATGAATGCTCTCAGGCTCTCAAGAGAATGTTGAAATTCAGGTCTCAAAAGATTAAAATTACAATAATGAAATGTTTCACCTACCTTCCAAGCCATAAACACTCATACTGGTACTGGATGGAACTTAAAATAAAAAACGGGTGGATAATTAGGGGCTTGTAGCACCCCCTGGGATTTTCCACCAATGAAGCACCTATATGCTGCGGAGACCAGGGCCCTGTTTCACCGTTGATAGCAGCACGCTACTATCAAATTGCGCGAGCTGACGTAATGTTATGAGGTCACACTAATGACGTTTCGTGTAATCCGTGAGCTGCGTTTGGAACAGAGTTGCTGTTTCGTTGAATGCGATGTGTTTGATCGCACGGCCGTGATGCTGTTGGCAGCAATATTTGATGACATCACACAGATTGACGGCGGCATGGTTTGCTGATGTTTCCATGGAAATCCAATTTGACACGTGTGATAGCAGCATGCTGCTATCACCGGTGAAACAGGGCCCAGAACAGCATGGTCTGTGTTGCACATATTGATGCTGAAGCTATACCTATGAAATGTCTTTCAGATAACCTACCGAGTGTTCACATTCATCACAAATGCAGTCATTCTCCGGTATATTACATCTGATGTCCTGGGCATCATCAATGTCAGGTATGCACCCTTTACTTTTTTCCTATCATGCATCAGTGATGCATCCAATGTCTGAGTTCCTAAGTAGAACATATGCTATTTTCTCACCAGAACTGTAGTGTGTACTCCATAAGAAAAATGCTAATTTTTGGTATGTTTCTAGTTGAACAGAGTTTGTTCTTATTTTCTAGTTATTGTAGGTATAAAATGAAGTAATATACGGTTATCTTCATAAGCAATAGGTACATCGCTCCGGTCCGGAAATCAGTTTAACTTGAAATGGTCACAGCTGTTGGGAGAAGCTGCATATCGGCAGTTCCCAGCAAGAACATCCCAAGTGTCAAATTTTCGAAACTGTGATTTTCATAACCATTCGACTCAGCTCCACGAGCTGAGTCGAATGGTATAGAAATCTCAATTTCAAAAATTTGACACTTAGGATGTGCTTGCTGGGAACTGTCGATATAGGTACACTCGGGGGCAGAATGATGTTCCACCACTCCCTACCCATCGGGCGATCCCATGGCTCAGCACTGGCTGATGTCAGTGTTGCCTGCCCTCAGCACTGCTCAGCACTGCATGCCAGTGCCAGTGCTGCTAGTGCTGCCACTGGCAGCAGCCAGTGCTGAGCCATGGGAGCTCGATGGGTAGGGAGTCGTGGAACATCAATCTGCCCCCGAGTGTACCTACTTCAAAAACAGGTGTTGTTGTGGAATGTGGACTGTGGAGGCAGTCAATGGGTAGCAGCTAATCGGCACAGTTCTGTTGAGTAGTAGTGGTTTTAAAAGGTCATTGCCTCGATAAATGACGTTTATTTCTTCAGATGTGGGGATCGTCATAGGCACATAAGTATGTAATGTTTTATTGCCAGTGAATTGAGTGTATTACAAAAGAGCAGTGTTGTAATTGCCTCTGACTGACGCCCCGCTCCCCTGTTAGCGTGTATGTATGTATGTATGTATGTATGTATTGACGATCAAGAGCAATCCACAATCGGCGTGGCGATTACACTCCGAGTCCGAGCTGGTTGAAGATAACACAAGAAATACCTATACAAGAAAACGCACACACTTACGGATACGAAAATGCACAACGCGAACGCCGAACACGCACGTACTTGGTGTAACCCGCACGAAGCCGCGTTCATAACTATACACACAGACTCGTTTGCCTTTCATAGTCCAAGAGTCATGAGGCTAGCTACTATGGCTACTCTGGCTAGGCCCGTGTCAGCGGCGGTGTCGGCGGCGCTGGCCGGCCTCTGGCTGCACGCGCTCAGCCAGCCGGCGCCCGAGGTGACCTCAGAGTACCGTCTGGGCGTGTGGGTCACCGCGGCCATGGTCGTACTGGAGACGGCCGCCCAGCCGCTGGTCATCCTGGCGCAGGCCATGCTCTTTGTCAAATTGAAGGTGAATGACGGCGGTGGGGTGACGCAGAGGAGAGGAACAGGGTGTCAGGGGAAAATATTTTAGGCGCTTCGGTTCCCCGATGACTCTGCTATATCAGTGAAATTATATCCGAAGCTCAAATCGCCTGCTGTGACAGTCGTTTGCGTATCGTCGATCGTTCACACCGCGTTGAAGTACTGTATTCTCCCTACCTTGCTGGCATATGTGGATTATCTCTGACTCTCTTATCGTCTTCTCGCCCCTCCCCATCTCCTCTCACCACTCTCTCACCCACCCGCTCTCCCTCTCTCCCAAGGTGGTAGCCGACATGGTCAGTCTGTGCAGTCGGGTGGCGCTCAAAGCCTGACTGATCGCCCTGTACCCGTCCCACGCCATCTGGGCCTACTGTGTGGGCCACGCGGTCAGCTCCGCTCTCCTCGTGGTCATCTATTACGGCACCCTGCTGCTGCTCTGGCACGTCCGCTCACCGGATAACTGTCTACCGGTGAAGTCGGCGAGCGAGCTGGGACCCAGACTGGTGCCGGGACAGGTGAGGCCAGTGAACTATTTGTAAAGGGGCGGGGTTTCAAATGTAGTCAAGCGTTTTCGCGGTCATAGTGGTTTCTTTTGGCCAAGTCGTCGCATTCTTCGTTTCATTTAGCTAGAACTTTAGGTCTAAGGCCTCTTAGGTTGCAGTCAAACGGTATTAAGACCTACCTGTGTTACAGACAGCTCACGGCAGCGCTGGATCGAGTATCCTTAGAAATAGAGCCAAAGTTGTGCTGCCACGTTTTCCCAGCAACCGCGTCTGCCTCTAACATTTCCTGTCGCGACGGTGGCGATGTGACCCTTGCTGCCATCTCTCTTCACTGATCAGTAATGCCTCTCCTCCCCTCCTCGTCAGCCGGCGCTGGACCGTGACCAGCTGGCCCTCACCTGGAGCTTCTTCAAACAAGGCCTGCTGAAGCAGTTGCTGACGGAGGGCGAGCGCTACCTGATGACCGCCTTCCACCTGCTCGACTTCTCCGAGCAGGGCCTGTACGACGTGGTGGCCAACCTGGGCAGCCTGGCGGCTCGCTTCCTCTTTCAGCCAGTCGAGGAGAACGCCTACGTCTACTTCTCGCGCACAGTGGAACGGGGAAAGGTAGGTGGCAACGTGGCTGATTGTGTGGTAGGAGGTGTTTGATGTTAGTTTTTTGTGTTATTTTTTTTTTACTGAGGAGTAGTGGCATTTGGTGAAAATATCAGTAACGTTGACCACAGTGTGTCGATGCCCGGTGAGGCGCCGAAAAAGCTGTAAGCACACACTCCTCTGATATTAGCCAATTATACTCGTAGCTACTCTTCATCTCCGCTATAAGTCCTTACTGCCAGTCGTTGTGATCTTCATCTTGGTGTCTTTTTTGTCATTCGGTTTGTTTTGTTGCCCAGCTTCTATCCTTCTGGCCATCTCTCCCCTTCTCGCCAGTCACTGGAAGGGGACAGTTTGGCACCTCTCCTCCAGCCGGTGCCTGACAGCTCCCTCCCCCTCCAGCCGGTGTCTGCGGTGGCGGGCCGGGTGCTACACGACCTACTCCGCGCTATGAGTCTGACCCTACCCCCTCTCCCTGCAGCCGGTGTCTGCCGCGGCGGGCCGGGTTCTGCACGACCTGCTGCGCGCCATGAGCCTGCTCGGTCTGGTTGCCGTCACGTTCGGCTGGAGCTACTCCCACCTGCTGCTGCGGCTGTACGGAGGCGCCCTGCTGACCGCCGGTCCGGCCGTCAGTCTGCTGCGCGCCCAGTGCGCCTACGTGCTCCTACTGGCGGTGAACGGAGTGCTGGAGTGCTACACGTTCGCGGTGATGCGCCAGGAACAGATCAATGGGTAAGTGCCGTGGAGGGTTTATGGAAAGCAGTCGGGAAATGGTCGGTGGCTTAGTAAGGAGTGAGGTAAATTAGTCGGTAGAGGCTGAGCGGATTAGGAAATGACGTTCTCATGTTGGTTTTTGTTGTTAGACTGCCTTTTGCGGCTAAAGGCGAAGTGGAAAGGCTGGCCAGTCGTGTCGATAAAGTGAAGCTAGGAACGTTACTATCGGGCGCTTTGACAGGTGTTGTGGCGTTTTCCGGTGTTTCAGGTATAACCGGAAGATGGTGCTGCTATCTGTGATATTCGTCATCTCGACAGGGATCTTTACTAGGCTATTCGGCGGGGTTGGATTTATCCTCGCCAACTGCGTCAATATGCTGACCAGGATATACGTTTGGTGAGTTTTTGTGTTTTTGAATAGATTTGATTTGTCCTAATTGGTCTAATTATTTACATCATTATCCAATCTGTCATGGATAGTCAATATCACGCTTTATTCGCCGATCTCGATATACTTGGATCTCGTTACTTCACCCGTCTATCGACTGATACGAATGTCTGCTGTCCCCAATAGTGTCCTGTACCCCTCTCAATTATCATCCCGTCCCCTCCCCGTATGCTGCTGGTTCCCGATACAGTGTCCCGTGCCACTCTCAACCATCATGTCTTCGTCCCATTTTCTGCTGCTGCTGCCCGCTCGCCCCGTCCAGTGTGTTGCTGGCGCTTGATGCAGTGTCCCGTACCCCTTTCACCCTGTCCCCACCCCGTGTGTCGCTGATGCCCGATACAGTGTCCCGTACCTCTCTCACCCTGTCCCCGCCCCGTGTGTCGCCAGTTACCGGTTCGTGGCCGGCCTGCCGCTGGAGCCGGCGGTGTCCGTGCCGCCGCTGCTCGGTCTCCGCCCGCCGGCCGCCGTGGCTGCCGCGCTGGTGACCGCCGGCCTGCTCGCAGCCGGCTCCGAGAGCTGGCTGTACCCCAGCTCCGCCGCCGCCCATGTGGCTGTGGGCGCGCTCTGTGGGGCCGCCGTGGTGGCCGCGGCGGTGTACAGCGAGCCCCGCCTCCTCCAGGCGGTCAGGGAGCGGGTCGGGGATAAACTGAAGCGCAGCTAGCGGGGAGTGCTACTCACATGGTCACGCAGGGAATAGGGGTTGTTTTGTTGTGATATTTATGTGCATTTTGGGTTGAATATACACCGTGCCTGTCAGTAGAGTGGATCTATCAATTTTAAGACTGGTGCGACTGCAGGGGGCGTTGTGGCTATCGCCCATTTGAGAGCCGGACAGTGCTTGAAAGCAACTTCCTACCGATGAATTTTGGCATTCAGATCCTAATCTATATTACTATTTGAGGAGGGTGCGTCTGTCCGTTACCGAGGTCCCGACTTGGTGGTGCTTTGCGTGGACTACAGGCCAGACCGTTGCACCTAGCGCGCTGAAATTTGCACAACTTATAGATCAAGGATGCGCGACGTGCCTTTGAGGGGTCTCAGCTCGATCGGATTGATAGGGAGCGCGAGGCGCGTGCTCAAAAAGTGCAAATTCGCGTCATAGACTTTACATGTATAAATCGGCGTGCGAAATCGGGCGAAAACGGCTAATTTTGGCCGACACGGGTCCAGTTCCCGTGCAATATCTTGGTGACCAGGGGTCCGACCGGCACGGGGAAAACAGCATCGTGTACAGAATTGAACGGGCTATCGAATGGTGTGCGGTGCAGGGGATGGCACGCGCCACGTGCACCGGGGAGGGCACTTTTATTTGGAAAATTGACGTTTTGGACGGATTTGGGAATTTATATTATTTTCAGGTGACCGTCAGACGGAGCGAGTTGAATCAACTCCTATTTGCAAGAGAAAGGTACCGCCTCTCATATAAAAATTGTGAAAAGCTGATTGATCCAAATCAAGGTGGTGCAAATCACAGGAGAAAATGGTGTTTGTCAATTTTGTGCCACTTTATTAATCACACGGGGTTTGCTGCATAACCTGATACCTTTGGCAATTGAATATGGTACCATTGGATAGAGCATTCAATTCTGTCCAATATTCACTCTTCATTTTTGCATGATTAGCAACAGTATCCTTAAAAATGTAAATGTTCCAAACCATTACATCGTCATTTTTAGCGAAATTCATCGATGGCCCTCAAAAGACTTCACGCCAGTTTTCGAATCATCCTAAAGTAGAACGCATGGTAATACGACACGGGCACCTCGATGCGATGTATCTTTTTTATTACAAAATGCTTGGCCGTCAAAAAGCAATCGAAGGAAATGGATACCAACCAAATCGACACAGACCAACCCAATACCCACGGGTCAAACATAACCCTTCTTCGCGTTGCGGAGCACGCGGGTAACCCTAGTTATAGCCATTTGTGATGAACGATGGCGATGCAGAGGACGGCAGGGGAGGTGTGGGGATGGCACCTCCCTGGAGCTTATGGTAATTGCGGAAGCCCATTACCGTTTACCACCACTGCACAGCCAAAGTGGTAAGACCGGAGAGACGCGATCAGGTCGGATTGCCAGTTGTCGATTCCTCTATCGTTGTAGAGGTCGCTTGCAAAGTGAGATGACTGCTTTTCGTAGAGGGCGGTAAAATCGTGGCCGGTTAGCATCTGGTGGGGCTTGTAGGCTAATGATGGGCACGACCGGGTGCTGTATGCTATATGTGGTGACAGCGGCGTTCCTGAGCGTGGGGTGTATCTCTTGCTCTGAAGTCCAGAAGTCCTTATCGTTCTTGTGCATTCACTTTGTCAGTGCCTGATGTCAGTGTCAGTGTTTGTCAGTGTTTCATTCTGTAGCAGACATGCAGTCATATTTGGTTAAATAAAACCTTGCAGTCTGAGGCAGTCTTTTCATTACAGTACCTCATTACAGCGTCTCATTCATTACAGTTCAATATTTAGAAATGCAAGACATTACACATTAGGGCCGATCGGGCATAGAAATACAAAACAACAGTATACGCTCGCTGGCTATTATTCTGAGACTCAGCATTGAACCTGCCATCACTACAATACAGGAGGCGACAGGTGTAGAGGTGATGTCATACTCATTTATCAAGTTCTGCTGACTTGACCCACAAGTTGACTCCATTATAAATATTGTCTCTTTATCATGAAACAGACTCAGAAACCTTGGCATGAATGCTCTCAGGCTCTCAAGAGAATGTTGAAATTCAGGTCTCAAAAGATTAAAATTACAATAATGAAATGTTTCACCTACCTTCCATTGCCAAAAACACCCATACTGATACTGGTACTGGATGGAACTTAAAATAAAAAACAGGGGTGGATAATTAGGGGTTTGTAGCACCCCCTGGGTCCTGGGATTTTCAGAATTCTCCACCGCCGAATAAAAAGGTTAATCATCAAAATATTATCACAATCACCCAGGGCTCTCTCTATCGCCTGGATAAAAATAGGCCCCGCCCATCCCAATCAGCTGCTGCATGACGAGTTGATGACGACAACCACTACTTACCAGCAACCAATCTAGGGATAGCGTACGTGACAGTAATGGTGCAGCGGTTGCAAAATATTACATTGTTATTCAAACGGTTTTTGCTTTTAGGGCCTTGTTAGATGAGGATGAGGTTAGATTAGATGAGGTGTTGATGAAGGCAGGTATTTTTTTTAAATATTTTTTTGACAATTTTTTGCCCTTGTTTTACTTAAGCTGAACCCGGGACCACCTGAAGTCTAAACCTTATTTTATATAACATGTCAATGCTGATGCTGTCTTGAAATGTGAAATTTAGACAATGGTTATAGGAATAATGAATAGCAATTTCACCAACAACATTTTAATCTCTAGGAAGTGCAATTAAAATTAAAATCACTGTCTGCCACACTGCTCCATCCTGGTCATGCAACCAACGTTCATGGGTGGTGTTTCACGGCAGAGCACGCACTGCAGTGCTCAGCACTGCAGTGCGCTGCGTGTGTCAGAGCATTGGGTTTCCATGGCAGTGTCAACAAACTTCACTGTGACGCTAAGCTATGACAGCATCCCAGAACGCTAGCACGCTGCGGTACCAGCACCAGCAGCATGCTAGCAGTATTTGAACTCAAACCTCTGTTCTTGGTACGGTTTTTCAGAACCTCTCACTCTGTTCCAAACGCGATTGATCATAAACTAAGAGATCACATGCAACGTCATTTGAGTGATGCTATGGTATGCCGTAGCTACCAGTGCACACAGTGTCTGGATGGTGAAACAGGGCCATTATTAATCACATTTGCTTTGCTTTGTTTCAGCAGAAACCTGTCTGCACATGGGAGGAGCTCAACAAAAGCCCATCAAGTTCATGCATGGCAGTGGATCTCAACAGGAGAAAACCAGAAAGAACATGGATGCTTGTAGATTGCAGTTGTACACTGCTGTTATCACCTGATGTGCGTGGCTGGCATTGCTCCTGGCAAGAACCACCTGCAAGTGATGAGAATGAGATGGTGCCTCAGTCGTTGAGTGTGCTGCAGTGTGAGAGGCGCCCTGATCTCTACTTTGTGATAGGTTTCCATTGGAGGTTCAACTGAGAAGTGAGAACTGACTGTGACCATGCTTGAGCATGCCAGTGGAGCTTTACATGCTTAGGGCAGCTTTTGAACAGATGCTGACCATGGCATGTCCCATCCAGTTATCACGTGCACAGAATGGTGGGGGGAGGGCAACTCTGGGCTCTTGAGTCAGCCCTACTGCACAGGGGGTACAGATGGCCGCTTACGTTTGGTGTGTCCTGCACTGCATTATCAAGCCCAGTCTGCGCCACAGGCAATGGGTCGGGCTGCACTATATTAAAGGCAGACTATCTTGCAAAGGAGGCTGGCATCCTCTCCCATAATGACACACCAATTGGCAATCATCGCTGCGATGATCACGAGGGTGTCCGCTTATCTAACATGGTGAGGTGGAGAGCCAGTTCAAGCTGGCCTGAGGGATGGTTTTACTTCATCTGAGGCCCCCTTTCCCCGCCTGCCAGGTCCGGTCAAACGACCGCTTCACAGTGAACGACTTGCAGTGGATGCCGTCCCACAGCGCAACGAGCTCGCCGACCAGAGGCGGCGGCCAAGAGGCGGCCGCGCTCCCCCAGTCGACGGTCCCGGTGGACGTCGGCGACGCCCACCGCGCGACCATCAGATCGGCTCGCGACAGCGCCGTCGCCGACTGACCGCATGACTGGTATCTGTTCTTGATGTGGGACCGACTGCCACCGCCGGTCGCGGAAGGGCATCGCTCATCGGCCATCGACGTCCGCCAGCTTCGCGTGGGTCACTGTTCGGGCTGCCACCAATACACCGAATCGGATGGAACCCTGTCGGCGAATGCCGGCGGTGCCCCGACATCGACTGCGCGGCGGCCAGTGCATCGCGTGCCGGGAGGAGGCTGGCACCCCCGATCGGTCATTGGTCACAAACCGTGTCCCAGCTCATGACTGCATCCAGCGCAGCTCTGTGAGATGTTCTGCAGCTGCTGCAGTCTGCCGCGTGTGTTAGTGAAAGAAGAATGAACATGAGAAAACCTCAAAACTTTATGCCTATTCGCAATTGACCAGTATTGGAATAAGTTTGGATTTTGAGAATTTGTGTCCCTGTGCTTGTGCCTGTGTGGAAAGGCATGCTTTACGGTGTACCATCTCAATGTCAAATCCCGGCTGCGCTGTGCGGATTTGTGCGGCTGCTGACAGGCCACCTGGGTGCCAACGTATGTGCGAATCCGCGAATACGTTGTGTTTCGTCAGTCAGTATCGTTCTGAAAATATTGACTGCAATAGGCTATATAGCGTATGACGGTTCAGCCCAGCAGTAATAACTGACCATTGATTGGGCGAATTTTGTGTGGTGGTTCGCTAATACATAACCTAAAGAGTGTTTTGCCGGAATCGTTTAGTAGCAGAACTGACCGGAATATAAGTAGAATGCAATGGTTTGAATCGTTAATTTGTTGAAACGATTGTTCTCTGAGACCACTGTGTAACTTTTGACCTGAGAATCACCAATTATAACGACAATGGGGAAGCAGTAGGCTGTACTGTAGAGTGTAGGCAACACTATATAGTTGGCACACATACGGAAGCACACGACTTACGCAGTGGACATCTGCATCATGCATGTTAAGGTTTACTGGGAAGAGTGAGAAATTAGTCAGAATATAACTGACTAAGGAAAATAGGCGATATTTCCTATTGAGCTGGGGCGGAGA